ATGGGATTTCTTTTGACAGGCTGTCTCTTGGGAAAAGGTGTTGAATAAGAGGGGTTCCCAAAGCCAGGTTTTGAAACAAATAATTGGAAAAATGGATTTTATTGTCATTTTTCTTTGGCTGTTATCAGTTACTTGATAGAATAACTTTGTGTGTGTGAGATGAAGTAAGGGCACATACATGGTTTTCCTCTGTGGCATAGGAATGATCCAGGCACACTCCCCACTCCCAGCCCCTGTAGGAGCCTTCACTCAAGGAAGACACGTGCAGGACCAACAGTCTTCAAAATGCCCCCAAACAACAAAGTAATCAAAATAATCTTCAGTTACATCGGAAAAAAATCCCAAAGGGTAAGGAATTTTCTGATTGCTGCCAGAGGAAAATAATAGGAAAGTAAGAGATCTTACAGTAAAAAGTTCAAGAAGCCAACATAAAAAGCAGGAATGTGATTTTTGAAGGAAAAATTCTTGGCGTACCTGTAATATTTATCTTAGCAGGACACACAGCTTTTTTGGGGGGCCAGATGTTCCAGCAGCTGGAGGCTTTGCTGTTGTCACTGCAATGAGCTTTCAGAGGAGATTTTTACTCCTACCAAGCATCTTTTCTCCCCACACTGGGGTCCATAAATCACATTTTTAAGGAAGAAAAGGTTGTGACTGGCAAAGCAGTTCAGTTTTGCGCACGAGTCGTGCAAAAGCCAAAGGAGGGATGAGCCAAATGTTGCCCTGAAAGCTGTCCTGGGTGCCCAAGGTGGAATCTCTGGAATTCCAGAACTTGCTACTCTAAGGATTCCCTTGTCATCCCAAGGAAAAGGAAATATCAAAAGAAATCTACAGCTTATAGGCATAGATAGAAAAAAAAATGGTTATTTAACATGGATAACAGATCTGGGGAAAAAAAACAATTCTGGTATTCTCTCCCCATCCATAGCCAGGAGTTGTAACTGTTTCTTTTATCCATTGTTTTACTGCATTATGGGATCTCCAAGATGCTTTTGAGGTGAAGAAAAGAGCAATTCCTGCTGCCCTGTGTGTCCTCAGGGTCAGGACCTGTAGCCTAAAATGGCTTTGGCTTATTTTGCTCTCTTTTGTTGAGATATTCAGTGTTCAATAAAATATATTCAAAGGGAATAAAGGATAAAGTTCCATTAAAAAGCTGATCGGAAAGGGGCAAAGGGCTGGAATGAAAAAATTTGTAAGAATCAAAGCATTTCCATCAAATACAGCTGATTCCAGAGCCTTGGATTCACTGGTATTATTTAGGCAAGATTCCTTTCCTGCAAACATTTTCAGGACAAAAACACCTTTATAAACTGAGCAGGAATTCAGACAATTCTCTTTCTTCACTAAAATTATGACCTCTGATATTTCCTCATTTAAATGTGTAATAATTCAATAATTTAATAAATAAAGGAAGAAAAACAGAAGTTAATACTACTAATATTTAAAAAGCAAGAGCTTTTAACATCCCATTATAGGGAAAAGCCAATTCCTGCTGGCAATTTCCCTAAAGATTCTGTGTTTGTGCGTTTGTTTCCCAGAGCAGATTGAAAATATTGTGTTTGAGGCTGAAGGAAGCCTGGTTGGAATTCTGAGAAGAAACAACAGCAGTTCCATGAAAACACCAGTGAAAAGCAAAATAATTCTAACACAAGGAAACACAAAGCAAACCTCAAGGCATAGAATTCATAAACTAGAGGCTATGCATGTTACATCTAGTTTTAATTAGTATATTCCTAATGAGAAGTACAAAAAGGTCTTCAATTAAGGAAATGGGCTCTCAAATACATTGGAAATTCTGGGGAAAAAAGGGAATTGCAGAGAAGGGGCCTTCAAGCAAGCAAGCAAGGAGCAAATAATTGGCTAAAAATTGGCATTTTATTCATATATATCTCTTTTATTTTTTTCTTGGAGCATCAGTACCTCCCAGCTTTCAGAGGCCACTGCTCTTAATCCAATCAGATTCATAGAGAATAATTAATGTGGTTTATCACTTCCCAAATTAATTCTGATTAAAAATGACTTTTGGAGAATGATTTGTGGCATTCTGCTGAGCATAATGTTGCTTTTTATCTAGTTAGAGAAATCTTACTATGAATCTAGAGCAAGGCAGCTCATTATTCTCCTCTAAAAGGCTTTTATTCTCAAATTAATGTATTTAAGAGGATGCTGCTGGCAGCAAACCCAATGACCTTAGAGAGTTGGGAGAAACTCCATGGGATTGTCTTGGTACATATCAGCTCTTTGGATGATGAGAGAAATTTTTATCCGACATTTGGATATTTGTTTCTAAATTCAATTTGTGTGGAAGGTTATGGACTTGGGATTAGTTTCCTTCTCTCCCTATTTTTTATTTTAATTCAATTTTTGAGTTTGATTATTTTTATTATTTGTAAAACTGTAAATTTTAAATTAGTAAAATTTTGTTCAAGGCATGATGGAAGCAACTGAAGGCAAGCATCCGAATGTTCAGTGGTGCATTTGTGATTAATTGACCCAAAAACGGATTTACATCAACTACTCTATTTTAATTAAAGACTACAGTCCTTAATTATCCCATAAGTTACTATGCCCTGTTAAAGAAGAACTAATTGTGAGATTTTTGGGTTGCTTTTGAAAGTTCTAGTTTTGCATTGCGTCATTCGATTTGCAGGGAGAGTTGGGATTGGCCAGCCTGGACAAGAGAAGCCCTGGGAAGACTTTGGAGCATCTTCCAGCCCCTAAAGGAGCTCCAGGAGAGCTGGAGAGAGACTTTGGGAAAGAGATGGAGTGCCAGGACACAGGGAAGGGCTTCCCACTGGCAGAGGGCAGGGATAGATGGGATATTGGGAAGGAATTGTTCCCTGGGAGGGTGGGCAGGCCCTGGCACAGGGTGCCCAGAGCAGCTGTGGCTGCCCCTGGATCCCTGGAAGAGTCCAAGGCCAGGCTGGAGGGGCTTGGAGCAGCCTGGGATAGCGGACATGGTGGACATAGGTGTCGCTGTCCATGGCAGGGGTGGCACTGGGTGAATTCTAATGTCCCCTCCCACCCAAACCATGCTGGGATTCTCTGATTCCAATATCCAATGTTTGAGGCTCATCAAAGCTGTTGTCAGTGCCAACAATAATGAGAAGATACTGAGAAAATCACATCTCAGAATCACTCAGATGATGTGAAAGAAAGTGAGCAACTGTTAATGAATGCAGAAGATGAAAGCATACACATTAAAAACTGCTCCTAAGAATTTCCCCCTGGAATCCAAACCTGAATAATTTCTACAGTGCAAGCTCTGAGTGTACTTTATTAATGTTCTCCTAAGTTTCAACCTGGAAAGCTGCTCATTTCATTCTGCTCCTCAAGAACAGACATTCATTCGATTAATTATTCTTAAACCAGGCTGGAATGGGGATTGTGTTTAACTAACAGAGCAATTACTTTTGCTTTCTAAAGGCCAGTAAAAAAGGTAATGAGCACCGACTGCTGTAAATGCTCAGTGCTACAACAATAAATTTCAGCCTGATCCTCTGCAACAAGAACACTTCTTAATTATTTTTAATTTTGCTTTCACTAAACACAAAATTATGTTTAATGCCATCCACTAATACCAACTCCTGGCTTAGGCCTTGTTACATTTTGTGCCAGAAAAAACAGGGAGGATTGGAACAGAAAATCTTAAAGACGTAAAATTGACATTTCTTTGGTACTCCTTCATGGACTGATCATCTGTTTTGAGTCAAATGTTCCTAAAGGGCAAAAGCAGATTCCTCTCATCACCCCCAAATTTCCCTTAGTTTTTCTCCACCCATTTCTTATCCCCCTGACAGACACACAAATACCTGTGCCTAAGAAATCCTCTTGGAAAACCAGGAAGGATTTCAGAGCCTGTTCGTATTTCATGGGATGACTCCAAACGTGATTTGACATTTGTGCTTCATGTTGCTTTCAACAAGTTGCTCCTTTCCCTAAACTGCCTTCCAGAATTCTTTATCTACTCCAGTGCCTTTGTCCTATTATCTGCTCTCTACAATTCCCTGGAAGGAGGATGGAGCCAGGTGGGGATCAAGCAAGGGACAGGAGAAGAGGAAACGGTGTCAAGTTTTTCCATGGGAAGTTTGGATTGAATAATTGAAAGAATTTCTTCACAGAAAAGGTGGTTAAGCATGGACCAGGTCAGTGGTGGAGTCACCATCTCTAGTAGTGTCCCAAAATGTATGGCAGTGGAGCCTGGGGACATCATTGGTGGTGACCATGGTGGTGCTGGGGGATGGTTGGACTTGATGGTCTTAAAAGCCTTTTTCAAAACTTCTGTGGTTCTTCAGTAGTTCTAAAGTTCATAGAATTGACACGATTCTTGGATTCACCACCATTTTTGGATTCCTAATTTTGATGAAGTAGGAGCTTCTCAATTCCCCGCTTCTCTGCCATTTCTGGGCTTATTTTGGGAAGGACTCTCATGAAACCAACAAAAAAAGCCCAAAAAAATAGGTAGACACAACTTTATTAAGCTCTGATTGTTTTATCATTCCTGGTGCTCTAAATATATAATTTATTTGTTTAATTGAAAACAAAGAGCTGTTACTCTTGCTATTAATATCTGATGCTAATTGTAGTCTGTATTTTCTATTTCCATTAATTTCCTCTCTTTAAAAAAACAACAACAAAACCCTACGGTCAATTTTACACCCACTTTCCTCCCAGTGCAGACCTGAAATTGCTGGATTTCCCCTTTAAAACTTAAACAAGGTGCCGCCAAAATAGATAAAACTTCAAGTGAAAATTGACATTAAACATAAATCAGATGTTTAAATATGAACAGATCTTAAATGAGAGCTACAAACTGGCATGAGACACAAGCACCTAAAATTGAGTACAAACAAAACCTGGGTTGTAACTCAAAATCATCCTTGTGTCAACATCAAGCAGCTTCAGAAGATGCAAATTTCAATATTTCTTGTAAAAATCAAACCAGTGAGTACAGATTTTCCCTCTGTAAGTGAAAGCTATTACAAAATCTTCAGCCTTACCTTCACTTTAAGCACAGAAGAAAACATTCTGGCATCTTCAGACACCCCTCCAATGTACATTTTTTTGGTAAAAACAGGTGCATGATCATTTTCATCCTTCACTTCAATAAAGACCTTGGCTGTATTACCTAAAAGAGGGAAGGAAAAGGGAAGAGAATATTTTGTAACATCTCCTCTTATTCATGCATTTACAGCTCAGACAGATCACATAAAAAGAGTGTAGGGATAATAAAATAAAAATAAATCCCCTAGACATCATAGAATACTGAAATTGGATAATCCCAGAGTCACTGAGATTGGAAAATCCCTCCCAGCCCATGGAGTCCAAGCTGTGCCTCATCCCCACCCTGTCCCCAGCCCCGAGCACTGAGTGCCACGTCCAGCCCTTCCCTGGACACCTCCAGGCATGGGGACTCCAAACCTCCCTGGGCAGCCCCTGCCAAGGCCTGAGCTCCCTTGCCATGGAGAAATTCCGCCTGGTGTCCAACCTGAGCCTCCCCTGGCACAGCTTGAGGCCGTTTCCCCTTGTCCTGTCCCTGTTCCCTGGCAGCAGAGCCCGACCCGCCCTGGCTGTCCCCTCCTGTCAGGGAGTTGTGCAGAGCCAGAAGGTTCCCCTGAGCCTCCTTTGCTCCAGGCTGAGCCCCTTTCCCAGCTCCCTCAGCTGCTCCTGGGGCTCCAGCCCCTTCCCCAGACAAGTAATAAGGATCCATATCATACCATCCTTCTGCAGCTTTTGGTCCCATTAAATACCCACAGGTGTGACGAAGAGGTAATGAAGAGGTCACAAAGAGCTCATTAACAGCAGCTCTGCACCTTGCTTTATCTATTTTAATTATTCCTACTGCCATGCAAATACTTGATGATTCAGTCCTGGTGTCTCTAAACTCATAAATGGTCACACAGAGTCCTGGCTCAGCAGCCTCAACACTTAATTAATTTCCTGTGTTAATTGAAAGCATCCCTAAGCCTGTCCTCCTCCCAAACCTGGTCTGGCCGAGGGGAACTCCACCAGGGTTGCCTCACCTGAGAGGCTCAACACAAAACCCCACTGTTAATTTAGTTTTATTAAAGAGTTCCTGCTTCTGCCCACTGAGCAATAAACATCTCCATCCTTCTGCAAGAGGAAAAAACATCCAGCAAAAACCATGGACCTGGTGCCAAACAGATTCCACTGTGCAGTAATCTCCACCAACATCTGCTCCCCTCTTTCAGAATCGTATCATCCAGAAAGACTGCTGGAAATGATGATATCCAGTTCATTAAAACCACATTTGCAAGTGATAAATTGCCTGCTTTCTGAGATGGTCTGCTCAGTTCCTTTCAGTGCCAGGATAATTTCAGTGTTGCACAGGTGACACTAATCTGAGTTACTTGTACAATGCAGGCTCTTTACGAAAGGCTTAGGAGCTGTATATTTAGGGGAGGAAAACATTAAACCACAGCCTATTTCTGACATGGTGAAAGTCATATTCTTCCCATCTGATGGTCCAGCTGATGGGAAACAAATTATGGCTTCATAAATGGAACTGAAATCTAAAAAAAAAAGAAAAAAACAAATATTTAAAATGCTGTCCCTGAGGCAGCAGAGTGTCCTGGGGCCAAGGAGGCCAATGGCATCCTGGGGGCAGCAGGAGGAGCATTCCCAGCAGGGCAGGGAGGGATCCTGCCCCTGTGGGCAGCCCTGGAGGCAGCTCTGGAGTGCTGTGTCCAGCTCTGGCTCCTCAGCACAGCAGGGCCAGGGAGCTCCTGGAGCGGGGCCAGCGGAGGCTGCGCAGCTGAGGAAGGGCCTGGAGCATCTCGGTGCCCAGGAAAGGCTGAGGGAGCTGGGGCTGCTCAGCCTGGAGAGGAGCCCCAGCTGAGAGGGGCCCTCAGGCCTGGCTGGCCCTGGCTGCAGGGAGGGCTCCCAGCAGGGCCCAGCCTCTGCTCCGGGGGCCCAGCAATGGCACCAGAGCCACGGGCAGGGCCTGATGGCAGCAATTCCCCCTGGCCAGGAGGCACAACTTCTTCCCTGGGCAGTGCCCAGCCCTGAACACATTGGCCAGAGAGGCTGTGGGCTCTCCTGCCTGGGGCTGTGGCAGAGCTGTGTGCACACAATGCTGTGCCCTGTGCTCTGGGATGGCCCTGCTGGAGCAGGGAGGTGGCACCAGGTACCCTCTGAGCTCCCTTCAGCCTGAACCTTGGTGTGAGGTTCTTCAGTGTGGAGAGAAGGGAGGAAAAAAGAAATGAAAGAAAATAAAGGAAATTGCATTAGTTATCAAAACTGTCTTCTTCAACCAGATCCTTAGTATCTCTGGCTGCAGTACTGAAGTACAGTGGGAATCTCATTTTCCCACAGGCAGACTTCCCCACTGCATCTCCACCCCTTAGGGAAGAAGGTGTCATTAAAAGCAGGATTATGTGTGGAAGTGACCTTGCCCTGCTGAGCCTATAACCAGTCCTATCACTGGCTGCCACCAGTTTGGTGCTGAGGGGTGAAGGGAAGATCCTAATTTTATCCCTGCAGGTGGGATCAGGTGTTGGCTCACCTGCACTGGTTCTCTCTAATTCAAATTAAACATCATTTGCATATTGCTCATTTTTGTCATGTCAGGCCAGACTGGGTGAGGCAGCCGAGTCTTGTTCAGAGTTTGCCTTGCAATTTGTTCAGCTCCCCATTTGTTTAATTTGCTGGCAGTTCTGTAAGCTGCCAAAATGCTGATTTGTTTAGCAAAGGGTGAATGCTTTGAGAATGGAGAAATGGGAGTTATTACATTAAGTGCAAAGCAAATTAAATACCCTGCATATCCACAGGCCAACATTAGGACCATCACCATTGAATATCTACCTGTATTTCAGATTCCTGCCTGATTTCTAAACACAGTCCTTTCTAGCAGATGGAGTGGAATGTGACATCTGTGAGGTCCCCCCTATCCCACCTTTGGATCCAATTCCAAACCTGGAAAGGGCTCTCCAGGAGCTACAGAAGTTGCCTTACCCTCACAGTGGAATTCTCACTAAAATATGTCAGCAGCAGCTGTGCCATTTGGGAAGATCATGCCAGACCCTTTCCCATAGGGATTTTTCACAGTCCCTCTGCTTGATTCAGGAATATTCCCTGCACAGGGGCTCTGGTGCTCTCAACCCACCACTCCTCCACCCCCAGCCCCCAGCCTGATGGAACAGGCCATCAATGAAGTGCACTCTTAGACAGTCTGATTTAGACTCTATCATTAGACTCATTTTCCCTTCATATTCCACATTTTTACCTGCTTTTCTAAACACTGGGTGTGGCTTGAACTCTGTGAGAATAGTGATCATCATAGACTGTCAGTATTCACACCTTCCAGAGGGGAAATGTACACCCCCATGCATGTAAAACCTCCCGTCTTTGGTGCTCTAAGTCTTGAATCCAGCTCCAGTTACTTTTTTTCTTCATGGATTCCAGGTGTTGAAAGCAGGATTTACTCCTTGGTGGTAATTCTTGTGAGATCTCCCAGAATCCAAATATAAGATCTTACTACTTATGACTGTGCTGCCTAAAGAGCTGTCCAGGTGAATGAACAAAAAGTATCTTTCCCTGGACAAAGCAGCACAGGCTGCCAAAGTCACCAAAAAGAGCCAAGAAAATTGATTTCAGTGGTACCTTGGTCTCCTGCAAGGTTCCTTTTTCCTCCTCTTCCCCAGCCCCCTGGAGATGAGCTGCAGAGCACAGAAAATACAGAACTGCAGCTGCTTCTAAGACATCCTCAGCTTATAGGAACCAGCTAAATAATCACTGCCAAGACTTCTGGTTCTTTCAGCTTCTGTTGTTTGCTTAAGGGGAGTGAAAACAACCTGAAAGCTGCTCTAAAGCAAAGCTGAGTAACCTCTGAAACATCTATAATGAGTAGACCATGAATAAATAACACAGAAAACAAGCCCAACAAAAACTCCTGGGTCACTGGTGTGTACTAGCACTTAATTTCCAGGAGTTTTTCCCAAACATCCTTGTTGGAACATCCTCTTTTCCAGTCTCCCCATCTGAAAATGTGTCAGATCCACATGAACCTGTAGTTCCTTGCCAGGCTGCAGAAATGAAGCTGAACTAAAGTAATGATTTTTGGACACTGGGACAGCATCAACGATGCTTTGGGTGTTCCCAGGTGAGTTTTACTCAGCGCTTTCACCAGCAGCACTGCACTTGCCTTCTGCAACATTCAAACCCAGCCATGGATCCAGCTGCTCTTCATGCATGGATAATTCTAACATAAATCCCTGCATCTCCAAAAGCAATTCTGCAGGAGGCAACAGCAGATTTCAAAGAACCTTTCCAAAGTTCATCTGAATCCAACTGGGAGGGAGAACTGTAATTTGCCAGGGTTTAGGAGCACTTTGCTTTACTCCTGCCTTACAAGTACGTGGAGCAGGCTTTGTGCTTTGGCAGGTGAGCTCTGCTGAACTGCAGCTGGGCTCCATCTCACATTCCTGGATTTGGCAGAACCAAGTAGGAATCAGCACTGAATATTTTTCAGTAGCATTTAGATCTAAATGAGCACATAAAGCCTGAAGATCATCATGTGCTGTCACTGCTCGAGAGAGTGCAAAAAGAAGTGAACAGCAACATGTTTGGAGTAGCACAGACACAAGGTCTGATTTAAATCCATATAAAACCTCTTTTTCTAACAAATAACAACCTGAGCAGGAACTCAGGTTTTAAGCAACCTCCCTAAAATGCACTGCTTTGCTGCCCAAAGAAATTGGAAGCTTGTCCCAAGCTTCCCCAGAGCTGTGAGGCAGCAGGATGAGCTCTCCAGGCTCTGCTTGCATTGAGCCCATCTGTCACATCCTGGATTTGGGAACTGCCAGAGCAGCCAACTTGTAAAGCACCACCAGCACCAACTTTTTTTTGCAACTAAAAACATATGGCTGCTTTACTGTTACATCAACACCACAGGGACACAGAATTCATGCTCATATTTAACGTAGTAGAATCATCATTCCCAATTACTATGGAGCAGCTGCAGAATTTAAGTTGTAAAACTCCCATTTCCACTTTATTCCCAAGGGGTTTTTTGTGTTTGGAAAACCAAAAACTGAAGGAGACAGGCCTGTTGCCTTACCCCCAGTCCCCAAAGCAAAGCCCTGCTCACAGTTGGGAGTACAGCAGAGCCAGGACAGGGCCATTGTACCAGCCCTGGGGGTGCCAAAGGTGCCAAACAGTTCTACCTGACTGGATAAAACATGGAAATAATCAATGGAAGTGTGACTTTGTTTTCAAATATTCAGACAGTAAGATAAAAAATATGTCTAACAGGGTTCTGTCATAGAATCATCTAGGCTGGAAAAGACCTCCAAGATCATGGAGTATGACCTGTGACCAATCTCCGCTCTGTCACCTAATTCCTCTTAAATACAGGAAAATCCACCATAGGGTTCTGTTATTATCTTTACATCTCTAGGAATGTGAAATCATAGAATTCCAGGATGATTTGAGTTGGAAGGGACCTTAAAGCCCATCCAGTGCCATCCCCTGCCATGGGCAGGGACACTTTCCACTATCCCAGGTTGCTCCAAGCCCCAAAGTCCAACCTGGCCTTGGGCACTGCCAGAGATCCAGGGGCAGCCCCCGCTTCTCTGCTCATACCCACCAATGCTTTGGTTCTACAACTGGGACCAGGCTGAATTCAGAGGTAAAAGCCTCTCTTTGTCCCTCTTTCTCCATCCTGCTCCAAAGGTCTTTGTCCCTGTGCTTAGGGAACACTTTCTCATTGCTGCTTCCTCTGCTTCCACAGAAATCTTTCTGCTTCTTCACAAATCTTTCTGCTTCCTCCTGCCCCTTACCTTCTTACCTCAAGGAGTAGCAAGTGCAACTCCTGGCTCTGCGCAGTATAGCCCCAAGAATCCCACCCTGTGCCTCAGAGCTTTGTCCAAACTCCACTAATATTGAAGGTCCTTAGCATCATCAGAATCCCCAGGGAGAACTCCAAGCTTTTTAACTCATCCTCATCACCAAACCCAGCTCATCTTTCATTCAAATGAAGTAAAACCACAGCAATTTCATATCATAAAGTTTCAGTTAAAGTAACTCCTTTAATGAGTTTGACTCTGCTGAAGGCAAGAGTGTGACTTTGCATGATTTAGCATCATCTATGAAAACCCCAGTTTAAGTCACCAATTTGATGTTCTTATACTCCAAAGGACATCTCAATTTACTTTCTCTCCTCACATATTTATTCAATTATTGCCATGCTATCACCTGGCACCATCATTGAATGACAAGCTCAGTTACACTTAATGCACTTTCACTTTCCACCTGCATAGATGAAAACTCCAGCTCCTTCTTCTCTATATTATTTCCTATACCATCACTGAAAACAATTTGGTACCCAGCTTCAGAGCTTTGTGACATTCAGCCCTGTATGGTGGCTGAGCAGTTTGTCAGGGATGCGTTATTTACAGAATCCCAGGGTCACTGAGGCTGGAAAATCCCTCCCAGCCCATGGAGTCCAAGCTGTGCCTCATCCCCACCCTGTCCCCAGCCCAGAGCACTGAGTGCCACGTCCAGCCCTTCCCTGGACACCTCCAGGCATGGGGACTCCAAACCTCCCTGGGCAGCCCCTGCCAAGGCCTGAGCTCCCTTGCCATGGAGAAATTCCTCCTGGTGCCCAACCTGAGCCTCCCCTGGCACAGCTTGAGGCCGTTTCCCCTTGTCCTGTCCCTGTTCCCTGGCAGCAGAGCCCAACCCCCCCTGGCTGTCCCCTCCTGTCAGGGAGTTGTGCAGAGCCAGAGGGTTCCCCCTGAGCCTCCTTTGCTCCAGGCTGAGCCCCTTTCCCAGCTCCCTCAGCTGCTCCTGGGGCTCCAGCCCCTTCCCAGCTCCCTTCCTTGTATCTTGAAGTCAGTGTCTCAGAAATCCCTGCAGCTCCAGAGTAGGTCACCGACAAATTCCAGAACAAATTCCACTGATTCAGGGGTATCCAAGACCAGACCTGGCAGCAGGTCACTGCCACTGGGTGTCACACCTCTGTATTAATTCAGTGTCGCATAATCCTGGGGCTGGGCATTCTGAGTCACCCAGCTCCAAAATGGTTCATCAGTTCAACCTCAGCAAAGCCCACAGTGATGTGTTAATTGTGCCCCATCTCCTCCCACTGCAGCTCATCAATTCAGTACCCTGAAACTCAGAAGTAGTGTTTACCCTGATTGAAATTCCTCAAAAATAAACAAAGTGCCAAGAAAATGGAAAGGCATTCATTGTGTAAAAGAAGGAATCAAACCCAGAGACCAAGTAATCTCCATTACAGAGTCATAAGTATTTCAGCTGGCCAGATACTTCTAAAGTATTTTAAATATATACATTGATCAAATTCTTTAGCCATCCCTGCAGCACAGTGCACATTCTAAGGAATTTATATGTTGTATACTCCTGGAGAACCAAAGACACCCAGCTTGTGTTCCTTTAAGCTGGCCTGAAGTCAAACTCCAGTCATTATAAAGCATTCCTGAATAAAGTAATTCAGCCATCACTTTTTTGGAGCTGCTTCTCAGTTGAGAGAGCTGCTCTAGCGTAGAGTGTGAGTCAGAAGAGGGAATGGAGGGAAGGACCTGCTGACTGCCTCGTGTCTTCAGCCATGTCAGAAAGTTTTGGAAAAAGCTGTGTGCTACATGGAAGCCTGATCTGCTCCCTGGGTATTGCTTGGCAGTGGTTTTATGGATATAACCTTATCTGGATTTCTCCCAGGCACTGGGAGAAGCAGGCAGCTCTGCCTTTCTGTCCCCTAGCAGGTATATCCTTGACAGTGGCTAAACCAGCACAGGGTCTCACCCTGCTCTTAACAAAACCAAGCTCCTGACCACTGATTAACCCTGACATGTCACACCCCACACACTCAAATTCTTACTCAAGGAAAAAGAAATATTCATGATAATCCAGGCTCAAAATCCCAAAATCTCTTGCTTGTTCTGTGGGAAGCATTGGAAAGAAATCCTGATTAAGGTATTGGAACTGACATCCCCTGTACAGTGTCTCAGGCCATTCCCAAGATTTATGGCATATTCCCAAACATTTGAGCACCTTCAACTAACATGGAATCCCAGAATCCCAGAGTGGTTTGGGTTGCAAGGAATCTCAAAGCCCATCCAGAGCCACACCCTGCCATGGGCAGGGACAGCTCCCACTATCCCAGGCTGCTCCAAGCCCTGTCCAGCCTGGCTTTGGACACTTCCTGGGATCCAGGGGCAGCCACAGCTGCTCTGGGCAAGTCAGGCCAAGAGATCCTAAAATGCAGTGTGGGCTGTGATTCCTTCATCACCATCATCCCCCTAAAACACAGCAAGGTCACTGGAGAGCAGTTACAGCACTCTCAGCGAATACCAGCAATATCTGTTTAAAAAAGATGGAAAAGGAAGGATTTTGACACTTACTTTTGGAGGGGACCCGCAGGTTGGATCTCACCACCTGCAGTGAGTCTGCCTGCACTCGGAGCTCATAACTTTGGACACTTTCATAATCCAGAGGCTTTTTCACAGAGATCACTCCTGTTCTGTTGTTAATGGCAAACACATCTGGAAGCCAGAAAAAACACAGGAATCTTATGAGATGCATAAACAGGAATTTTCAATGCCCAAGGGTTTTATTTTGTGGATGACATAATTCTCTGACACTGCCAAGCAAGTCATTCCCTCCCTCCCTCCCGCTTGGAAAACCCCACACAGCTCATCTTTGAAGATATTTTTAGGGAGCAGAGCAGCTGGATCTGCCCTGCTACTGGGATAACCAACACAGCATCACAGAATCATGGAATATCCTGAGCTGGAAGGCACCCAAAGGATCAGAGAGTGCAACTCCCTGCACAGGACTTGAATACAAATGGAAAGATGGGACATGACAAAGAGCCCACTCTCAGAAAAAGGAGGATGGGATAGGGAATTTACATCCCTCCCTCTGATTCTGTGTTATTTTGTCAAGACTTCCAGGTGGATCACATAAAGCATCCCAGCAGGATGTTTTTTTTGGATATCAGGCTCTAATCCGATAACTGTTACAGCATGGCTGAGTCTATAATCCCTTAAACCAGATTTTTAAGCAAGTACTTCATCAAAGCTATTTATGTTTTTATTTCAACATGCCATGGACTCACATGAGTGTGGCACCCATGGGAATTTTCACATCAGTGAGAATTATTTTCTTGTAATTTTGCTAATAAATCTGATCTCTGGCTTATTTCCAAAGACCTGATAATGATAGTTACAGAATCCCAGAATGGTTTGTGTGGGAAAGGACCTTAAAAAGCCCATCCAGTGCCATCCCCTGCCATGGGCAGGGACACCTTCCACTATCCCAGGCTGCTCCAAGCTCCAAAGTCCAACCTGGCCTTGGACACTTCCAGGGATCCAGAGGTAGCCACAGCTGCTCTGGGCACCCTGTACCACGGCATGCCCACCCTCCCAGGGAACAATTCCTGCCCAATATCCCATCTAAACTTTTCTGTTCCAGCTTGAAGCCATTCCCCCTTATCCTGTTCTTTATCAAAAGTCCCTCTCCAGGTTTCTTCAAGTCCTTTCTAGCCCTGGAATTCCCTCGAGCTTGTCCAGATGGGTGGGATTTCACCTTGATGATTTGAGAGTTCGTTTCCAGCCTTAATTTCTGTGATTCACCTCAGCAGCTCTACTTCTCCACACTTTCTTGCAGACCTTGGTGTGCCTACCATGACCACAAGACTGAAATATTAATATTATTATTCTTACACTTACCCTCTTCATTCCCTGACACAATGGAGTACACAACTGTCTGGTTCAGGGCGGCTGCGGTGACAACGGTGACCACGGTTCCCTTCGGGGCACTTTCACTCACTGGGGGAGGTCTGCAGGGTGGAACAGAAAGATCTGTGTTACATTCCTGAACAGCGGACTGTTGAAGCTTATTCCTCAGGTTACTATTTCATCCATCTATTAGGCCGCCACAGGATCTGTTATTAGGGAAAATCATATTAAAAAAGGAAAATGTTTGTCCTTTGAAAATGCAAAACCCACTGAAAAGTCCAATAGACAAGAGGTGGCAATGTAAAGATCTAATGATGCTTGGATCTGAGAAGTGGGAAAGCAGGGAATAATGAGGAGGAACAAGAACCACCATGGCCTGATAAATTGGAAGTAAAAGACAAAATAAATCTTTTCTATCTGTATTTTATATAGATCTCTTTTATAACAGACCTTGAATATATTCAAGTCTACTAAGAAAACTCAGTAATCTGTCAAAAAATCACACAGGAGAATTCATTAATGGGTAAAATTCCATGCCTTAAACAGGAATCACTTTGGGGCCACCTCCATGGGAATTTCCATTCTTCACGAAGTTCCAAAAATTTCCCTGCCAACACCTTTTGCAACTAAAACCCAAGCTGCTTTCAGGAAATGAACTGCAACCCAAGGCTACCCAACCACTGTAAGGGTGGGCAGGCCCTGGCACAGGGTGCCCAGAGCAGCTGTGGCTGCCCCTGGATCCCTGGAAGTGTCCAAGGCCAGGTTGGACACTGGGGCTTGGAGCAGCCTGGGATAGTGGAAGGTGTCCCTGCCCATGGCAGGGGTGGCACTGGATGGGCTTTGAGGCCCTCTGAACCCAAACCATTCGATGACTCTGTGCTGATGTCTTTAAATCAGCAATCCAAACAATTTCAACAAGAAGTGAGAGGCTTCAGCTCATCTCAAATCCTCCTCCTCAGATTTTCCTCACGGCAAGAAATGGTTGAATTCATGCTTAAAACTCTTCAAAATAATTTTAAAAGGAATTTTTGACACTCATCCATGAATGCAGATTTTTTTTAATGTATTATGCAGATATTTTCAATTTTTGAAAATTACACTCACTTGACAGATAGCAAAATAAACATCAGATGAGGATCTGCTCAGAGAGTCTCCTGAGTTGGAAGATCAGCTATGCACTGATCTTCAAAATTCTGGACAGAATCTGCAGCTGCTTCTCTCCAGGGAATAGCATGGAGGTATGTGGAAGACCAAATGGCACCTGGTGACATGGTCTAGTGGTGGCGCTGGTTTTGATTTGTTTGATTTGATGATCCCAGGGGTCTTTTCAGGCCTAAATTATTCTGTGATTCCATGAATATTTTATCACTTTCCCCTTTCATCTTCCAGGTGGTTTTCAAATCCTCCACCCCACACCACATTTTCCCATTCTAAGGGCAGGGAATGGGCATGGCCCTGAGGCTGCCAGAGCTCCAGGAGTGCTGGGACAACACTCTCAGGGACAGGCTGGGATTGTTGGGGTGTCTGTGCAGGGCCAGGAGCCTTACAACTCAGGATAGTCCATGATTATACAAAAGTTGGACCCCTGGGGCACAATCCCAACTATTGAACCCATACTTTTCCCATCAAGAAGTGGACAATCTTCCCTTGAGCTCTGCCTTAGAAGCATTTCCTTTGGAATCAATATTGCTTTGAACTTCCTAGAAAAATTTAGATATAATGAATATATGGAATGAAGTTTTGGATCATGCAATATAACAGTGATCTCCTCTTTTATTCACTGATGGAAAAATCCCCTTAAACACACATACACAGAGCAGATCCCTCTGCTCCCACCATTCTGCATCAGAGGTTGGAATAAAATTCCTTGTTGCTCCTTATTTATTAAGCTCTAAAACCATTGCTATGAAAAGCCTTTTAATGTGCATTTTACCAATGCAAATGCTAATCTTAGGGATTAAAAAGCTGCTGAAAGGCAGGGAAAGACAGGGGAAAAAAGCTGCCAAAGCTGGAAGTATTTAAATCTAGAGTTCTTTTGATGAGGTCAGAGAGGAAAATGCCCTTTTTATGCAGTACTATAGATGATGATGTTTTGTCTTCTAAAGGGGTGGGATTGAACAGAAGCCCTACATTTAATTCCCAGCACAATTCTAGGATATTTCTGCAGTGGTAATGACCTTATAGCACCCTCTGCCAGTGGTGAATCTAATGTATTGACAAATCAATAATAATTAGTGAGAAGTTTTGTGTTTGCTCAGGAGAGAGGGAGCAGAACAGCATTCCTCCCACCCCTCCACCACGATAATTGCACTGATTTTATTCCCTTCCTTTTATTCCAGGGATTGGGAACAACAGAAGTAATGCATCAGCTGGAGTGAAACACCCAGCTCATCCCTTCAGAGCATTCCTCTGGATAGTGGAGAAGCAAAGCAGCAAAAGATGAGCATCCAGCTTCCTGTATCCTGCTCTTTATCCTGTGCTTCCAGCTCTAATAACCTTTCTAAGGGAATAAATTCCTTATTTTCCAATGTTTGAATGGCTAAGATGGAAAATGGTGCTTTTTTCCCAACATATTATTTGAAGATGTTTTAAGGCACTGGCAAAGGTGTTTTTATGCCATAATTTTGCATCAACAGATGATAAAAGCTGGAATTTTTGTGGGAAGAGGAAAGCAGAAGAATCCAGCCCCAGCCACCCAGAAAAAGATTTGAAAACCCCCATGGGAGTGGAAGGGAAGGGAATTTCTGTGAGCTTAACACCGCTGTGGGGAAGGAAGGGTGAAGGGATTGGTTTCTCACTGTCCCCAGGTAGGATTGGTGTATCACTGTCACTGGGGTGGGGTTGGTGTGTCTCTGCCTCCCAGCCCAGTGCTGTATCCATGGAATCAGAGTTGTTAAGGTTGGAAAAGACCACCAAGACCATCAAATCAAACCATCAACCAGCACCACCCTGCTCACCACTAACAATGTCCCCACATGCCACATCCACACAGTTTAACAACACCTCCAGGCATGGGGACTCCAAACCTCCCTTTCCATGGAGAAATTCCTCCTGGTGCCCAACCTGAGCCTCCCCTGGCACAGCTTGAGGCCGTTTCCCCTTGTCCTGTCCCTGTTCCCTGGCAGCAGAGCCCGACCCCCCCTGGCTGTCCCCTCCTGTCAGGGAGTTGTGCAGAGCCAGAAGGTTCCCCTGAGCCTCCTTTGCTCCAGGCTGAGCCCCTTTCCGAGCTCCCTCAGCTGCTCCTGGGGCTCCAGTTCCGTTCCCTTCCCTAGAATTGCTTTGAAATATTTGAAACATTTTTAATGATTCCTTTTTTGAGTTTATGAACTCACTACCTGCTTAAATCTGTGATTTCTGATTCCTTCCCAAGACTCATATGCTCAGAATCTACATCCATCCCATCCCTGGATGTAAGAAGGTCCCTTGCAATAAATGATAGTCCACCTGCATCCTAAAAATCTGAGGGATAAACTGCAATTAACACCCACTTTAATTCCCATCCCACCTCAGCCTTATCCAGAGTTTTAATCTTCCCTTCTCCACACAACCACCCTTTGGCCATGACAACTGTAATCTATTCCAGACCCCAGTTTCATCCATTTCCATAGTATTTTTTAACATGACCATCACAGCAATGTGGTATTTAGGCCCTTTGATTCACTCTAACTTTTCCACATAAATAATAAATGGTATCTTGGGAGCATTCAGAATGGGATGGAAACCAGGACGGGTCCCAGACCCTCATTGATTTCTTTGGGTATGAAACCACAAAATGGGTTTATCCCTCAGAAAATAAACAAAGCAACCACAAAGAACAGGATTAAAATAAATACATTATTTGTGCACAAAAATACTGAAAATAAATACAAATTTAAAAAAAAAACCAAAAAACCCTCTGAATTTACTATATCTTAACTATCTGTGTCTTGATCAGAACTGGAAAGGGAGACTGAGCACATCTCAGATACAATGCAGGGCACAACTACAGGAAGTGTCCAAGTGAAATTTTAACTTTTCCTCTCTACTTTTTTGCTTCTTCTTCTTCTCCTCTGTGCTAAACACATCACTCCCAGCCCTTTTTCAATTTGCCTCATAGCCAATATGCTTTAAATTCACCATGAAACTTTTCTATCTCCTAAAGCACGAATGCGAGATTTAATAAAAAATTAAATTTCAAGCCAGCAAACCCAATAATAATTTGGAAAATTGGTTTAGAGCTGAAGCTTAATAGTGGGATGTGAATGGACTCCATATGAGCCACTTCAATTGCCTCTACTTTGTGGACTTTATATTATATATCTGTTTATATAGAATATTATAATAAAAATGTATTTATATTTTCATTTATGGAGGTCCATAAAAACCCCTCAGAAATTAAGTTTTGGTGCTTTTTAATTACATTGCTTACCTCAACTTGATTAACATTGCGGGTATCTTTATTCATAGGGTGGTGAGAGGGCCAGAGAAGCTGTGGCTGCCCCTGGATCCCTGGAAGTGTCCATGGCCAGGATGGACTTTGGGGCTTGGAGCCGCCTGGGATGGTGGAAGGTGTCCCTGCCCATGGCAGAGGTGGCACTGGATGGGCTTTAAGGCCCCTTCCAATTCAAACCAGTCTGGACCTCCATGATCCTCATGGCAGCTCTTTTAATCCTTTCACCAGCACATAAAAACTACCTTGGCTTCCTCTGCTTGCTCAAAAAAAGAGAGACCTGGACACATTTTAGAGCAATAATCCATCAATTTATCAAGTTTTTGCTTTCCTAGTAACTACCTGAGCGGCTTGTCACAGGCAATGGTAATTTTTTTTTCAGGAAAAGAATATTTTTGTCTTAATTAGATGTATTTATCAGCAGTTTATCATCAGTGTCAAATATCCCTTTCTGGACCTGATAACCTCCCTTTCTGTCTCAATTCCCAAATTGATTTGAGACACTCTGACCTTCCCATGGTATTTATCTCTAAAACAAATGCCATGGGAATGTGGACATTGCTCCAGTGATCCTATCTTAACTTATAGTATTTTAACCTAAATGTCAGGTTTTGCTCTCCTGATCTTTCTGTGTTCATGTTATCCCTCCAATCTTCCCAAATTAAACCTGAG